ATAAATGCAGTTTAGTTCCCACGCGATTTTTTTGATTTTTTTTCCACCAAAATATGTGTTTTAAAGCACTGAATACAAAAGTCTAATTCCAAAATCCTCGCAAATCATTATTTTGGAAGTTATATCTTACCAAAGTTTACGATTTTACGCATTTACGTATGCATGCGCGCGAAACGCTGTACATTTTGCTTTTCTACGTTTTCGTATTGGATTGTCGCCTATAATTAATTATTTTATTTTATTTTGTTATTATTAACATTATTATAATTTATAATTAATGACTTTCCAAAGGTTATAGAACTGATAATGTTTTATTTTCGTATTAAATATTACTGTTTGAGGATTGCTATGTTAGTGCCTACACGCATACTCCAGATCACTACAGTTTTTGTTACAGTTACGACAACATATCATTTTAAAATGTTATTTGTTAATTTTATTGAGTTGTATGATATATTTGAACATAAAACCAATGGCCCCGTCTCAATAAGTGTAATAGAAAAATTGCAATCGTGGAATTTGTTGGCCCGTGATTGTGTGTTAAAATGTAAAAATGGTCATTATTTAAAATTATACCCTGATGTGCGTTCTTTAGACGGGTTTGGTTGGAGATGTAGGGCACCTATAAATAAGCAAAAAAACAAATGCGACTATTATCAATCGATTCGCGTAGATACATTTTTTCATAAATCGCATTTGTCGTTATACCAAATTGTATCGTTTGCATATTTGTGGTTAGAAAATGTGTCATTGTCATTTATTGTAAAACAAATTAAAATTGCTCAACATACTGCTGTTGATTGGTCATCGTTTCATAGAGAAGTCGTCTTCGAGGCTATGATTACAAATCATAATAAGATAGGTAAGTTTAAAATAACCTATCTTAGAATTAAAAGTTAAATCATTTTCTTTTACACTATTAAAGTAATTAATTCATGTAATAGGTGGAGTTGGTCAAGTTGTCGAAATTGACGAGTCCAAATTTGGTCGAAGAAAATATAACCGCGGGCATCGCGTAGATGGACAATGGATTTTTGGTGGTGTTCAGCGAGAAACTGGGGATTGTTTTTTAATACCAGTAGAAAAGCGAGATAAAGATACCCTTCTAACAGCAATCAATGATTGGATCTTACCAGGGACTACAATTATCAGCGATTGTTGGAAGGTATAAATACCTTAATACATTTAGTTTTTACCCTGTGACCTACATGAGGGGGTTTTGCACAGCATGTCGGGGGATATTTTCGATTAGCGGAGCGGAGCGACGGCGCCGAGGAGCGTAGCGACGAGTGCCGCTAGCATAGCATCACTGACACACTTTATCAAATAATTGATATTTTAAATTGCATGTCTGAGCATTTCCCTCCTTAAGTGAATTATTAATTATTGCTAGTTTTTATAATTTTTTTTTATAATTTTTACGGTAGTCGCGATAACCGACAAGTTCCGCCGAGGGATATTGTGATATCTAGTTGTAATATTGTGTTAATTTGTTTAATTAGAGTTATCAATGTTTGGAAGATGAAGGATTTGTTCACTTAACGGTGAATCATTCTATTCAGTTCAAAAATCCGGAAACAGGAGCACACACAAATACTGTTGAGGGAATGTGGCGTCACGCAAAGGCTTCGCTTTCTCAATATTCTCGCAAAAAACGGTTTTATGGTGGATATTTAGCTAAGTTTATGTTCCTGAAAAGGTGTCGTATATTAAATATTGAACCTCTGACGGAATTTTTTAAACTTGCTGGTGAGCTCTATGATCCAAAAGCGATACAAGAAAATAATTTATTGGTAAGTGATGATGAAGCGTCTTCTGAAACGGATGAAAATGACGAAGATTTATAATGTAATATTGAAAAAATTAAAAAAAATTAAAAAACCTTTTTGATTTCAAATTTTTGAATTTTTAAACATCAAGTACGATATTTAAAATCTTTATGCATATTTCCATTCATCATAAACACATACAATTTAAAAAAAAAATCAAAATGTAGTTTTGTTGATGTTTTTATCGTAAATATCACGTATTTTTTAAAACATTACTATTTTATAGTTTTCTTGGTATAACTTCCAAAATAATGATTTGCGAGAATTTTGGAATTAGACTTTTGTATTCAGTGCTTTAAAACACATATTTTGGTGGAAAAAAAATCAAAAAAATCGCGTGGGAACTAAACTGCATTTGTTCCCATCCATGGGCTAATGTTACCCAACCATTATTTTTAATTAATTGTAATACCTGTTATTTTTTAAATTTCAGAAATCAATTTCAATCCTAACGTTAAAATATGCCACGAATAAAAAAGAAACCTCTAGGAACAAGACATTATGTAAATTACTCGGACGAAGTATTAAACGAATGTTTGCAAGAAATTAATTCTGGTCGGATGACACAACGAGCTGCAGCTGCCGCATATAAAATTCCTAGATCTACAATAAAGAACAAATTAAAAGGTAAACATACTGAACTTGTGGGTCGTTCTCGTGTTTTCACGGATGCTGAGGAAACGTCTTTTGAACATCACTTAATTAAATTGGCTGAATATGGGTTTCCAGTCATAGAGTCTGACTTCCGTTTGATCGTTCAAAGTTTTTTGAATAAAAAAGGAGTGAAAATTGATGTTTTTAAAAATAATCTTCCCGGTTACGAATGGACGAAATCATTCTTAAAACGACATCCTAACCTGTCGATAAGAATGAGTTCTAATATCAAGAGGGTTCGAGCAGAAGTAGGTTTTGATGATATAAATAGCTATATGAACAATTTGGGTGAGACTATAAAAGACATTCCACCATCAAGAATATGGAATTATGATGAAACCAATCTCAGTGACAATCCTGGCAATAAAAAGGTAATTTCTAAAAGAGGAGCTAAGTATGTTGAGAAAATTTGCAATTTTAGTAAAAGTTCCACTTCTGTAATGTTTTGTGGTAATGCAGAAGGCAAATTGCTGGCACCGTATGTTGTTTATAAAGCAGAAAATATGTGGACAACATGGACTGAAAATGGTCCAGAAAATACCCGATATAATCGTTCTAAAAGCGGATGGTTTGATAGTATTACTTTTGAAGACTGGTTTACAACCCATTTTTTGAAAGAAATTAAATGCAGCAAAGATAATCCAACCGTTTTAATCGGAGACAATCTTGCGTCACACATAAACATTAAAGTTTTACAACTCTGTGACCAATATAATATAAAATTTGTTTGCCTACCACCTAACACAACCCACCTTACTCAACCTCTTGATGTGGCATTTTTTGCTCCAATGAAAAAAATATGGAGAAATATTCTAACTAAATGGAAAGAATCTAAAACTGGATCCAAATACTCAACGATTCCCAAAGATTTGTTTCCAACATTATTAAGTGAATTAATTAATAACATTAAGACAAATGCAGGGCAAAATTTAATATCTGGTTTCAAGAAATGTGGAATTTTCCCTTTTAATAAACAAACGCTATTAGATCGACTGCCACAAAATGTATCTGGTGTTAATAATGAATTTGTAGGTTCAGCGTTTATAGAACAGCTTGATGCAAAGCGTCAAGACTACCTTGGAACAAGTGGTACTAAAAAGAATAGGAAAAAATTAGATGTCCCTTCTGGAAAAAGTATCAATGTTAGTGATGTCTTAATACCAAAGGAAACATCCGTGCAAACTGAACCACCAAAAAAAAAAAAGAAAAAGAAAAGTTTCTGAGTCAACTTCTTCAAGTGATGACAATAATATACTTATATTAGAATCTGATGAAGAAAGTGAAATTTTTTCTGACTCAGAACAGGAGGAACCAATCAAATCAAACCAATTAAAATTAAACCCAGAAGATGTAGCTGTTGATAATTTTGTATTAGTATTATTTAATAAAGAAAAATACCCTGGAAAAGTACATAGTATTTCTAAAGAAGGAGTTATGGTGGACTGCATGGAAAAAAAGATTAATTTGTTGGAGATGGCCACAAAGACAAGATATTTCACTGTATGACTGGAAAGACGTTCTCACTAAAATAAATCCACCAAAAATGATCTCAAGAAGAAATCAGTTTTCTGTTCCAGAACTGAATAGCTTCATTTAATATGTTACCTTCCTAAATATCTATGTGATACCTAACTATAGTAACATTGTGTTCCTTAATTGTTTGAAAGGTACCTAATTGAAAACAATGAAATCGTTATCTACTACAAGATGGGCATGTAGAGCAGAAACCGTTGCATCACTAAAGCATAATTACTTAGCCCTTATCCCAGCAATAGAAGAAATAATTTCTTCTACTTCAGCTACTGATGTATGTGCAAAAGGACGTGGTCTTCTATTTCAAATAAAGAGTTTCAATTTTATATTAGGATTAGAAATAATGCAACCAGTTTTACAATTGATAAATAAAGTTAGTAAAATGCATCAAACAGAAAATTATGATTTACTTTCAGGTATGGCAAATGTAAAAGCTCTTCGTTTAACATTATTAGATATGAGAACAGAAGAATATTTTTAAAAAATATTTGATACAAGTGTATCTATATGTAAAGAATTGGATGTTCCAATTCCTTTAATTAATAAAAGACAAATCTCTTCTCACATAGACAGTAACAAAACACAATTTGTTCAAGAAACTAAAGAATCGGAACTTAGAATAACAGCCTTTTATCCAATGATAGACGTGATGGTTCATAGTATTGATGAACGATTTAGCCAAGACACTATACAAGCTATGCATGCAGTTGATAGTTTACTAAATATGGATATATCCCAAACAGACCTATCATATCTATCAAAAACGTTTCAATGTGATAGTGAAAAACTAGAAATAGAAGTAATGCTAATAAAAAATAATTCTACGATTCCTAATAAAGACAGTTTCAGTAATAAAAGTAAAATCCATGAATGGTTAATTTGGCTGAAGTCTAATGACCTTTATAAATACTTTAACCAATTTTTTTAATGTAATTCAAAAGTTTTTAGTGATCCCAGTAACAAGTTGTACTTGTGAGAGGTCTTTCTCTAAATTGACCCTAGTCAAATCCAAATTAAGATCTACCATGAAGCAAGAAAGATTGAATGCTTTGATGGTATTGACAGTAGAGCAAGAAATGGCAGTTAATGTTGATGCTGATGCTGTTATAGACGATTTTAAAATAGCGGTAGATTTTAAGAGACGAATGTCATTATAATAATTTTGATTAACGTTTCTTTACGTTAATATTATCAATAGGCATGTATGTATTTTTTTTTTTTATTATTAGTAATGACATAAGTAATGTAGTTATAATATTTTTATTACATACTTCAATCTTAATTATTATTAAATATAATGTGACTATTAAAAACATTTTTTGGATTTTATAAATTAGCTCCCCCTCCCCATTCTACTACCTTATTAGTGGTGGGCCGATTTAGATTCTGCATATCGTCGCCTGGCGTGAAAAACCTCCTATGTGTAAAAAATTGCAAAATGATGTTTTTACATTTCTGAATTCAGAAAAAAATACGCCATCTAGTGATAAATATTTCAAGCTTTTTGGTGTTACAGAAACATTTTTATTCTTCAAAACAATGAACCTCCTATGTCAGCTGTATAGAAATTGTTATCTGAAATACCTCCCAAGTGCATAGCGGAGGTTTGTCACACTGTTGGTTTGTACGAATTTCGCACATTGGAGTTTTATCAGCTGGTGTTGAATAGGAGGGAAAATAATCTTTATTATCACTTTTCATATTATTTTTGATTTCCTTTTGAACTGTTGATGGCTGAACATCGGAATCTTCATTAATAACGTAAGTGTTAATAAATTAAAAAATAAGCTTATTGTTATAGTATAATTG